CCCAACACGGCTCAGTTAAAATTTTCCTCAATCTTAATAAACCACCATTTTGTTGTTCGCCCTAAATGTCACCATAACTTACTTGATTTTTCATTTGTAAAGCCTTCACCCAAACTTTTAGCGTGTGTAAATTTTTTCCTTTCTGTTTGTCACTGATATAATAATTCCCTTTGAAATTGTAATTGTGAGATAGTTGTTACAAACTCGCCTTTAACCTACAATAAAACCCACTAAACTATCCTTTCTTCTATCCCAAAATTTGAGGACTTTTCGTTTGAGATGCGGTGAGCATTCAAATGGAACCCTCTATTATCTCATACTCGAAGAACCCTGCATTTATACAAAGCTTCTAGTTGAGAATATAAATCTAGCCTCCTGCACTATCCATAAATCAGTAAACATTAGAAACTCATATTCACACGCCTAAATTTGAATTGTTTTTTTCTGCACCCCGATAATTTCAACTTAGTTTATCCTTGTTTCTTTTTTTCGAACCAATCCTCTTCCAAATTGCAATTTTAAGATTGGTTTATTACTTGAAATACTATGAATCATTTAATGATTTAAGAACTCTTTCGCCTCTTATTATATGTGAAAATTACATACCCCCCTCCCCCCACCCCATACAAAAGTTTGGTGAACTTGACTCTGGGTCAACACTCAGCGATAACCGACTAAAGCAAAATGTGAAATCTAACCCAAAATAAGATAGCCTTATTCAGTAGTATACATCTGTTTAACTCCAAATTAAACTCTGCTTTCTAACAATGTCGTATATACAGTACCAGAAATTCACACTTCGTTGATCGATTCGCGCAAGCGTATTCCATGGGCACCAGGTTTAAATAAACATCAATGACAGACCTTGCAGACCAATGGGAGTAACGCAGGCGATCCAATGTGGTCAGACAGGTCTGATGGCAAAGTTATTGGCTATGGGAGCTGCACACACGCACAAAACCACTTCGCACGCTCAATGCGTTAATGTGCACGCACAGTAAGTGCGGTCGAATGAAGGCACAATCGTCCTATCGGTATTTCCTAAACTCTTCTTTTCACACGCCGTTGCCTTATATCCACAGGCACACACACAATAGCATTTTTGTTGACCTGATTGGCGTCTTCTAGCTATTCCTCTCTCTCTCTCTCTTGCACTTTCTTTCGCAAAAACCATGTTCTAGAACCATCAACCCTATCACCCCGAACTTATTTTTCTCTCCTTCTTCAGCACTCGCATTACTGTGTAGTATATGGCTATTTATCGTACAGAAATGTCAGTACCAATTCGTGTTGATACCGGAGCAAGTCGTCATCCTACTGTCGTTCCCATAATTACTGACAAGAGCTACAATACCCTCGGTGGAAAATCTACATCGTCCAATTCTTGGTTTAATAAATCCAACGATGATTTTTTTGGAAGATTTGATGATCCTCTAATGAGTACTCGTCACAGTGATAGTGAGCGATGGTTTGAGGACATGCGAAGGCGATTCGATGAACGCCGAAGACAATGGGATGCTGAGATGCGTGAAATGCGATCCTCATTTTTTAATACCCCCTCTTTTTCCTCGAATAAACCTGATCCCTTAAGCTCAATTTCCAGCCGTAGATATACCCCTCCTTTGAGTACTTCAGAAGACTGCTCCGTGGTAACAAGTTATGAACGTGGCGCTGATGGAAGCCTCCACTTTCTAGCTCAGTTCGATGTCCAGCCTTTTCATCAAGATGATGTACATGTCACAATTCGAGATAGACAAATTGTTGTAACTGCTGTGAAAGAGCAGCGAACTGGAACTAGTTCTACATCTAAACAAATTACTAAAACTGTGGATTTACCGAGAGGAGCTAAGGAAGCACTCATCTCTGCTTCAATAAGTGCGGATAATATTCTGCTTGTTGATGTTCCAGTTAGTTCAGCTGGCCACGGATTATCTTCTTCTAACACACTCTCTGGAAGCAGTGGAACTGTTAGTCTCGCAACACCGTCTACTACGTCTGGAACAACTGGGCGTGCCAGTCAGCTTTCATCACCTACTCCCTCCTATATAGTCTCCAAGACAAAGCCGAAATTCCATGTGGAAATCCCTGTTGGAAGTGACTACCAACCAGACGAGATTCAAATTCGGACGTTAAACAATCGAGTCTACGTGAGCGCTCGACATGAGGAAAAGCTCTCAAACAGAAGCACTTTCCGTGAATTTTCGAAAGAATACGACATTCCAGAACTCATTGACCCGAAATCCATCAGTGCGCGATTGGAATACGGAATCTTGCATTTGGAAGGAACTTCTTTAACTTAGTTGAAGGAGGGTTGAAATTGAACCAAGAACACCTATAAATCATCCACTATCTGTACATATAATTCGTCAAGAAATTAAACATATTTGAGCTGTGTGGCATTACATATCGATTAGAGAAACGGTGGTTCATTTTCAAGTTTCTTCATACTTCAATTTACCACCTACCTTCCAGCAAGTGTCACTACTCTTTCTACAAGTCGTGGTGTTTCTTCCTTCTTGATCAAATTAAATTAGAGAACCCGAAAATAATTGTATGTACTAAAACCGGAAACATCTGTGTCTCCTCCCTGAATGCCTTTCATTTATTTCATTTCAACCATTTTTGAATAACTCCAATGAATTTTAACCTTAAATGGAGACTTACATTTTTGTTCTTAGTTAATGGGTGTGGAGTGTGATAGGGAGAAGGTGGAAAAGGCGTCAATGTATTTTTTTATGATAAAATTTTATTACTAATGTTTAAATTTGATTCGATTTCTCAGCACTACTTTCCTTCAGCATGTGATTTCAGCTTAATTGACAATTTAAAATTGGCGCGATTTTAGCGCAAGGTGAGATTAGTATTAAATTATTCAATCGATCATTGCAATTTTAATAAAATTACAAGCATTTAACTATATCACTTCTCTACTGCTGTAGTTAAAACCACATATAGCGCTATTTTTCTGAGCATTGAATTGATCCGTCTAGTAGCCAACAGTATGCCAAACCATGCTCTTTAGTAGTGATCCACTTGGAGTAGGAAAAAAGTGGTTTCAGAGGTCGAATTCTCCGCAAACCATGAGGGCTGAAAATATTCCATTCAAAGAAATGTGATTTTTGTTGGTTATTATTGGCGAGAAATGGAATGCAATCGGAATGCAAGATTAGCCTTTCTATTTTGAAGATCTGAGATTTGTGTATTGTACCTGTTTGTTTTGGATTGATAAACTACAAACGATTGGTTTTAATTATGTCTGCTGATTGAAAAAATTGGTGTGGGTTCAGTCTTGATGAGGTAATTCCGAAAAGTGGTATAAAAATGGTCTTACATTTCACTGTCTGTCAGTGAAGGTGATAGGATAATTAATATTTCAGCAATAACTTCTTTACAGAAGCGCCAAATAAATTGGGGGGAGGGGAGGGGGCGGGGCTGTATATTGAGCAAATTAACTAATCAGCTAATGAGATTCGCTTAGGGGGGGGGGGAAGATAAAACAAGGAAATGATCATTTGTAGGAGATATGGTCATCGAATGTTTTTTTTTGGGATCTAAGGGAAAAATGGGCTAGCAGCTTTGTGATAAATAGAACAAAGTACATGCGAGTAGTTTATTTTAGCAAGTTGAAGGTCGATTCCTAAACAACTGTGTGGAAAGCCGCAAAACAGGAGGCAGATCAGGCAATATGACTTTCAGGTGAAGATCTTCACAGATCAGTTTTTTTTGCGCCTTTCTATTCAGTGGTACGCCTCTTCCCTTTCTGAAGTTGAAGGTTAAGTTGGACAGGTGGGAGCTAAGCCGTCATTGTCATGGCGCATGACTTCTAAATTAACCCAATTAATGTCAATATACAAACGTTGCCTCATATGACAATTTCAAGAGGACGAAGGAGGGGGGGTGGAATTAAAGGCGCTTCGCTTAAACAAAGATTCACTCCATTTTAAATTTTATTCATTTTAAGCCAGTGGTAATGTAACAAAGCAGAAATATAAATTCCATCATCTGTGAAATGAAAATTTCAAAGAATAATCTGCATTCAATGCTTCATTCTTCAGATTCCACAAATGCAAAATTGTGCTAATGCAATGCAGATAGGAAATATCAGATTTAATAAATACCAAAAGGCATATTATTTTGAAAATGTCAATCCCCATTTCAATACTGGAAAGAATTTAAAATTGACCATGGTTTAGAAATTTTAGCAAAGACGAGAATGTTTATTTCTCTTGTGTGGGGAGCTACCAACCGGTTTCATGCTTCTCATAAACCCAAATCCAAGATTTATCTTCTCTCCTTGAATAGTATTGGCACTAAGGATTGTTAGCTGTTGAAATTAAGCAAACAATTCAGAGGGGAAATGACGTCAAAAGTTATGCAGTGTTGACGGGAGTCATATGCTTACATAATAATGAAAGTTAACCTTATATTCACTTTTCCTCTTGCATTATGGTAGTCTTGCTCAGCATTTGATAGTGACAGTTGTGAAGATTTCCAGGCACATACCTGGATAAACTAGGTGGGATTTAGCAGCCGATATCTTATAGGGTGTTTATTGACGTCAGCCTTGTAGGGACAAGCTTATTCGGAATAGCCAATTATTGACTTTAGGTGTGGCACTAGAAAATTGATCATCGACATTTCCTATTCTACTACATCTTCGAGACTCAGCGTAAAGGTTAAGTCAGCTCTTCCAATTTGCACTTTCTCTTAGTGCACCCCTCTTCTTCACCCCTCATTCTTGCGACTACTTAATATTTCGAATAAGGGGTGTGCGATAGACTTACCTCCACGTGGTGCACCCTGGGCAACATATACTCATACGGCAAAAATGTCTATACACCAGAAGTTGACTTCTGACTTCAAACTACCATGACACGACTGTTTGTCATATTCGAATACTTCCACAGCACCCTCCTCACCTTTTTTATACCTTTATGTCTGTCTCTTTTACATCTTTGAAACACTCTTCTGTTCCCCCCCCCTCTCTTGACTTTTTCACTTTAATGTTCCTTCCCTTCTGTGAAGCCCGAAGTCAACTAAATATACCGGTGGTGTCATTCAAGCTGCAGAGCCTCTGATTTAGGAAAGCCATTTTTTTGCCCCAAGCAAGGTTTGAGTACTGACCCTGATTTTCTGATTTACTCTCCATTTGAAAAGTTGTTGATTATGCAATGGAATTAGTTTGACCTCCTTTATTTTAGCCCTCGTGAATGTCCATAACACCTTCGTCTTACCATTCATAGACGCTTTACTATTTAGAACTATTTAGGCTCCTTCCGCAGGTTGAAAGTTCTTTCCCCTCTTTGCAGTAAGTATTAATGAATACGGAACTTAAGCTGAGAAGTCGTAATGGGAAAACGCGTTTGCACGCAACAACATTGAACATCACTGAGCCATTGCACTACACTTAAACACTCTTGAAACCTTTTCACAGCTCACTTAAACTTAAAAGAGAACGGTTTTAAACCGGTTTAAAGTGTTGGAAGAGGAATAAAAGTAGGAAGGAACTATTGTACGAATAATTCGGCTTTCGAAACTCACCCCCCCCCCCGGGCTTTAAAAAGATACAAAAAATGGATTCCGTCAATGGTCAAAATCAATAAATCCCTCTTTGCTATTCCCGAAACGATCCCTGGAGTGATATCTACTGAAAGCACAAAAATGGCCTTCCAGAATGCCATAAATAACTCTATGCATTCAAATAGATAATCTTTGGTAAAGTTAACAAAATTGCAATTACATGTATTAACGTTTAGTATGAGGGTATTTTTTTTCTCATTGAAAATTTCGAATAATTTGGTACGCAGCGAAAGGTAATATTATGGCATGCAAATATCTAAACTCCAAATATCTCAACTCCAAGTGAAATGAATTTTTATAAAAATGTCAATCAATATTGGCGTGAAGATAAGGCGTTCGATAATTGAGAAGGCTTTGCTTACCTCTATGTTTAGTGAGAAAAAAGCCTGCACAAAAAATTCACAAAAAATTATAAAATTAAAAATTGATTTGGGTAGCAAAGTAATTAGTTTATCTGCGAATGTAGACTAATAGCAGTCACTGTAATTGACAATTTCAACTACCACTCGCTACTAGTCAGTCTAAAACAAGTCAGGATTTCAATAAATTATAATTCAATCTCTTTTGAGAGCCCTGTCTACAAACCGGAAAGCCAAGAGTATTGAATAAACAAAGTGTATTATGCGAAGGCTGTGGGAATGTAGGGGAGGAAATGAACGGGGGGGGGGCGAAGTGGTAGAGCGCGCTGGAATCGTGTCCCCAGATTTGACAGGTGAATTTTATGGAAAGAGGCGACGATCAATATTCACAAGCTATTTTGGCAGAACACGTTTTAAGCAAACTCTAAAATGCAAGGACCATTCTTTCAGTAAAATGAATTAAATTAATATCGATTAAATATTTTAGGACAATTTGGGGGGGGGGGGGGGGTGGGTATTTTAATATGAAATTGTGTTGTCTTGATGCTAAATGTGGTAATTTGAATTAGCTACGAGGCAAAATGAGGCATTTGGAATTTAATTGTGCTACGAACCTCGTTAGTAATCGCATAAGGAGTATGTATCGCAACGACCTGAATAGCAACAAGTGTGCCTTTTATAAAATGACACGGAGAAATGGCACTGTCTGTGTCTTTACCCTTTAATGCCCTTGGGACCCCACGGTCCTCTTTCAAAACAATCACCATTGGCACTAAACTCGTAACAGAGGGCTCTATTGCCGTTTGAAACATGTTCAATACTTGTCTATAGCCTTCGCCTGATACATCACCAAAACTCATCACGACGTCGACAAGAGTCTGCTATGAGACATGCCTGAGTGCGGTTGGGTGCATTTTACAAAAAAACTAATTCGAACGTTAAAGGGTTGAGTGGAGAGTTGACATGCCATATATCAGCAGTGATTCATTATGCTCCGGGAATGCACGAGTCCTTGTATTGATCGAACACAAACGGGGAAAGCGTATTGAGTTTGCATGAGGTGTAAATCTAGCGTAGTTAATAATTCACTTGATCGATTGGGTCTTTTGAATATTATATCCTGGACAAGGGTATTATAACTGGTCCTTTCGTATGCAGTTAACTTCTCATTTGAGTGGACATAGTTGCCAAGCCTTTCTATTGTGAAACTACAAAATTTTTTAGAAGGCATGTCAGGAAACACTTACGTACGTTGGCATGATCAGTACGATTGATACATCTTGTATGTCATTTAGTTACTCGCTGCTTCGTGGTGTTCTCTTACATTATCTTAACTTACTTGAATGTCATTGATGAGGCAA